TGCCTATTAGGCAGAAATTTTTCACTGTGTGGGTAGTGAAGCACTGGAACAGGTTGCCCAAAGAAGTTGTGGATGCCCCATCCCTGGAGGTGTTCAAGGCCAGGCTGGATGGGGCCCTGGGGAGCCTGCTCTCGGGGTTGGCAAACCTGCCCACAGCAGGGGGGTTGAAACTAGATGATCTTTAAGGTCATTTTCAACCCAGACCATTCTACGATTCTGTGATTGTATGACTCTATGAAAGTAACTCCAGTGTGACATGGAAAATTTGAGAAGCATATCCATGTTTTGTGTCTGTTTCCTTCCCTTTATGCACTACAGATCCTAGTTCAGCTGTAGAAGCAAAAACTGAATACTGTCTCAGCTGAAGCAACATGAAGTTATGAAAATGAACCTCTGTTTTCATTATTTTTTTTCTCGCGTGCATCGTGACTGAACCAGACCTGCATTGTAATACACCACCATTTTATCAAGGCTGCCTAGTAATGAGGCATATAACAGAACAGAGGAGGACTTTTCAGTTTCAGGGCAGGTTTGCAAAGTGGCTAAGGAACCAAAATGTATTTTTACAGCATTGCATTCCAGAATGTGACATTTTACATAAAAGCAGGACTTAGTGAAGAGTTCATCTGTCCTTTCTGGTAACTCTCCATCTGAAGTCATAACCTTGCATATCATACTGTATTTGATTTTGGAAGTGGTTATTATGATCTGTCTGTCTAGTTACACAGGTAACATTCATCACAGGGCATCTGAGACTTTAAGCAGAAAATAAACATAAGGAATACTTTTTTTTTTTTTTTCAAGTTAGCACCTTGAATGATTTCAGAGGAAGTTTTGCTTAAGACCACAAAATAAATCCCCCAGAATGTTTTTAAAGGTTAGTGCAATATTAGCTCGCATAAGAATTGAAGGCTTTTATTAAAAATAAAGGACAGTATTTATGCTCAACTTTAAACATAAGTCTGAATTAAGTGACTTATAATAAAACATTTGATAGAGTATATTGTTCTTTCTAAATAAGGATCCTGTACTAAACTAGTGAAGCTTCTCTTTCCACCTGACTGTGCATGGTAAAAATGTATAAAACAAGAAAAACTGTGGATGGGAGAAGGAAAATAATATATACGAAGTCTTTTAAAATTTTTTAGCGTTTATAATAGTGCCTTAATTTCAGTTGCAGAGTTTAAAAACTGCAGACAGGGATAAACTACAGGAAAAGCACTTTAAAATAAAGTCAAAGCAGCGACAGCAGCTGGAAGCATAAAAATAGCCTAGTTCTAGTGTTAGCGCTGTATTAGCTATATAGTTTAGCAGCAATGCTAATGTTTCTGCTTCAAAGTTGCAGCATTACTAGTGATTTAGAGATTTCTACTCAGAATCCAAAGCCAAACATTTTTCTCCTATATTGTTCATTTTGTTGCCCTCATTTTCACATTCACTGCTCTAAATGGAAACATTTCTTTGATTAGATTTTGCTTTGCTTTTCAGGCAACTGGACTGTGATAATAAATTAGTTTGAATTGGAAATATGCTTTCAATTTGCCTGTGAATTATTTCAATATCCCTTACACTGATCGGGTAGCAGTCGTTGGACTGCTGCCTATTTAGACATGTTCTAAGAATCAACCAAACCTGACCTTCCTTAAGTAACATTTTGACACAAAAACAGGTAGCTTTATGGTCCCAGAGTATATTATTATGTAAATACAGCTTTTTGACAGTAAATAGTTTATTTGCAGCACACAGACTATTGCCTGGGCCTTGAAGATGATGGGGAAGCAGGTTTGATTTTGTTTTTCCATTAAATGCACAGAGATTTCAACATAAGCTTACATTGACATATCAGGTCTGAATGGCTTTGCCCTCTTTATTTTCAGTCTTCTGTTTTGACCTGGTTTTGTTTGCTTGGGGTTTTTTTGTTCAGTTTCCATGCTCCACTGAACCCCTTTCTTCGGGTAATAAAACAGAAGCCCAGGGTTTAAGTTACTAGATGATTTGGGGATTTTGCATTGAAACAAGATATCAAGAACTATGGGTCTGGTCACCAAAGCTCAGCCATAAAACTCTCATCTAGTTCAGCAGTGGGCCTTTGTTTTTCATACAGTCATCCTGACATTGGTGCCTATACACCGATGTGCAGAAGAATGCCACACAGTCACTCAGTGATCAAGTTTTGGGAGCAGATGAACGGACTATGAGTATGAGGAGGAGATGAGCAGTTTTGTGAGTTTCTCTGCGTTATCCCTATGCACAGACACTTAATAAATAGACTCTTGCAGCACTATCTAAATTTATTCAGCTAGCTAGTCACACATTCTTTTCTTTTAGGTTGGCAATATATTTGAAGTTTTAAAATTTACCCTTTTTGTTTCTCAAAGACAGTAAGGGTTTCCAGATCATAGCATTTGTTTAAACAAACTAACAAATCCCCCAAATAAAGAAGTAAGCTAAAAGAACAACATTATGGTACATTAGGATTAAGTGTATAATGTTAGATAGTATACTTTGTTGACTGTGTCAGTGATGTACTCAACCCTATTTGGCAGGTCAGCATGTGTGCTGGAAAGACAGGGAGTGGTTGAGAGGCAAGGATATTATTATTATTATTAAGACACTCAAACAAATATTTGGAAAATTAAAGTGTCAGAACCTCTACCATAAAACATGTACCTTTCTGATACTGGCAGATGCTTCTATACCAGGATTTCCTGTTTGCTTTAAATTGTTTGTTTATGCATCTAAATAATCCTAAAGAAAAAAATATATCTGGCCACAGATCTTGAAATTCCTGCTAAAAAGGCAAATGTCCAATGTCTTTGAAGTCTGCTCTTGAGCTTGTTAGGTTGCTTTTGTTGCTGGGGATAGATTTTATTTTTTTAAATAGTTGTCTCATTATAAGTGCATTTAGTGAACAATTTTATTCCCGTACCTCTGAGAATCATGAATTAGAACTGCTTTTAGTATGTGGCTTCAATTTCTTAATGAGTCCCTCCAAATAAAGAATCAGATATGAGCTTTTGTTAATAGTTTGGCTGAAAAGAGATTTAAAAAAGAGGTAGAATCAAGCAGGAGAGAAAAGTTAGTTGTACTGTTGCCTAGAAATGGAAAATGAGACCGGAGCTGGTGGTAGCTTTGTTGTTTCCTTAGGAGAAGTGAAAATAGTGCTGTTTGTCTCCTGTGGATCAAGAAGCCTATAAACAGCTAAATAAGACCATTTTCTCCCATTCCAGCTGACTGTGAACTAACTGGATTTGAGTTATTGCTTGGCTACGCTCATTGGAGATGTTTGCTCCTTTTTTTCAGGATTTCTGAGATCTCAATGGAAGTTGCTGAAGGCGGCACTCTGTCTGGGATGACTCCTCAGGCTTACTTGATTGAGAAATGTGACTGCCCATTGGGTTATTCTGGTTTGTCTTGTGAGGTACAGTACTAACCTGACTTGTCAGTTGAATGAAATTCACCAAATAAAGTATAAAACCAAGTTTGAAAATAAAAAAGTTAAAAGTATGTTATTAAAATTGTAGGACCAAGCACTCTAAACAAAGCCATGCAGAATTTTAAAATTCTATTTTGTTGTCTTTCCAGATTTTTAAGTTTGCCTTGTTCGACATTTAAATTTCTGTATAAAGTTTTAATAGCTGTACAATGGATTGAAATATTTGGTTTTGAAAAAAAGGTAAACAGCATTTCAATTTTGATTTCTTAAATGTTTGTATTCTAACAAATAACTCAAATAACAACAAAATTTAAAAAGAGAAGTAATTTCAAAAGCAAACCCTGAACTAGCATATTCTGTGCAGTTCTTCAAAAAGGCATCTCATATTTGAGAACCTGTAGATTCATCACACTGGTCTTTCCTCTTGAATCTGTTCCCTAGCATGCCTTTGTGGACCAACAATAATAGGATTAAAGTTGTCCATTTTGCTTTCATTTTGCATGCTTGACTGTTCAAAATCGCACTGCAAATGCATTAAAAATTTAGATGTGAACCCTTCTGTATCATGTTTGTGCTTCATGAAAGAAGCTTCATGGACGGTGTTTGCAAAGCTTTAGGAAATGTCTACTGCACACGTTCAAACCATCAGTTTTCTGAATGCTTATAGTTTATCTGAGTGGATCTATGAAAACACATTGAAAAGGGCCACTGAGTTTTGGGAGATATCTTTCCATTTTACTCCCCTCAATTATTATTCTTCCAGTGCTGGTATAGGACTCACATAAGATCTTGCACACAAAAGCTTGCATCCCATCAGATTTCAGTCCCCCTTATATAAACAATGGAGCTGCTTGTAAGAGGAGAAGAAATTCTGGTACATGGTCCAAATAGTGTATTTTACTTTATTCTTAGAAGCAGTCTAATCACTGTGTCTTAAAATAAAATAAAATAGATCTGTTACTAATGGAAACTTTTGTCCTGAACTGTTGAAGTTTGGTAAATTTGTAACTCCTTGAACCCTGGAAGAAAAGTGTTGGTCTAGTAGGTGAGCTTGGTGCTCCTTGTACTTTACTGTATTTATTGTTTTGCTTATCTAAATATTTTCATGATGAAGATTGCATGTTTCAAACGTACACAAGTTTTATAGAAAACTTGCATGCTTTTGTAAAACGTATTTTATGATAGGTACCAGAGAAAGCGCTTAAGGTGTAATACTTTGCAGAATACAAGTTAATATTTTTGACTGTATGTGCTTTTGCTCTTGAGACTGGCAGTCTTTCTATGTGCAAACCAGCATGTTTTCATTATTAAGTAGGACTAGCAATTCCAAATGCCCTTGTTGCAACTGCTGGGTGGAGGTAGCAGGGAACAACACCTAGAGTATTCTGCAAATCCCTCAGACATTCTGACTAAGTGGGATCCTGTAAAGCGTTCCCCCAAACTAGCAATGGGAGAAAATTTGGAGTGAGTAAATGAAGGGAAAGATGCCTTGCTAGCTGCAAGAATTTCGTCCCCTTCAGATGTTGTACAGGGCTGTGTTACACAGCAAATAAGGCAACAGGAACAGTGTAAGGGAATGTGTGCAAGGAAGTGAATGAAGGCATTTTCTTTGCAAAAAAAAAGCATACACCTGAATGTGCGCAAATACACGTGAGAGATTAATGGCTTTCAGCATTAACTCAGAAGTACAGATTTTTTTTAAAAAGTGCTATAACAAATTGCATTTTTGAATTAAAATATATGATAATGTAATTAGAACTTGATTTTAATTCACACCAACCAGGGGCTGGAATAAATGTCTCAGTTGCAATGTTCATACTTTGGGCTTAATTGTGCAGTCTTCACATGCTCAAAACTTTATTTTTAGTGTGCTCGGTAAAAGTTATGGTGTGTTCTGTGAGGGTTTGATTAATTTCAGTGGGAGAAAAAAACATCTGATATCCAGGCATTTTTTAAGCAAATGCTAACAGGGTATATGTATCTATTTAATGATTTATCCTGTAATTGCATTGTGAAGACTATGTGCACAGCAGTTTTTACTAAAAGTGACATGTACAACCTGTTTGAGTTTTGGTTTTGGTTTTGGTTTTTTAAATCCAGTCGCAGGCTGAAAAAGCAGTGGTAGGAGTTTTCCTAATGCCTACTTCTGAAAAACTTCCAAACTAGTAATGAAAAATGTAGTCTTCTTCATCTTTTGTCTGTGTCTCATTTCATCTCAGGCATGCATAGATCAAAATAGATGAGAAGTGTCAATAGGATATAAAAAAAAACCAGTTAGAGATCAGATTTGTTTGAGGATATACTGTATATTTATACCCCAGTCTTAAAGTCACTGAGAACTTGTAGAGCTGTGCTTTGTATTGTTTTATGTTTGGACAATTATCTTCTGGGAATGTAGAGGGAGGAAAAAATTAGGAAATTATAGTAAGAAATAAAATTACTTTCATTTGAGATTATTCATCTAAATTGGAATTCTTCACAAACCATGAAAAAGCAAATAGACTTTTTGTGCTTCATGGATCTTAATGTAGTCTAAATCAAAATAAAAGGGGAAAAGTGAAAGTGAGTTATATTACTTTCTTTGTGATTCTAAAGAAAATAATTGTTTATGCTTTTTCCATAATTTAAACTCCTGGAGGTTTTGGCAATGATTATAAAAGTGCCAGAGTGGTGTCATATGAAATAGAACCTAGCGTGTCATGCTTGACTGAAGAATCCTGCTTTTGATCACAAAAAGTTACTTAGTCCAGATTCTCTTTTATTTTGCATCCATTTTATTGCTGTGTAAAAAGTGCAGTATTCAATTCTTTCCAAAAAGCACAAAATGTGGTCAGCAGTAGGAAATGACCTCATCAGGCAGCCTTCATAGGCTCCTAGCACCACTAAGTGGTGGGATTTATACATGGGGTGAGTGACTCGTATGTATGCACTTACCCCTAACGGTCTGGACTATCAAAATGGTCCTGTCTGCATTTTTAAGCTGCCATAGCTGTGTGCTTTCTGGGAGCTATGTAGACATTTTCATACGTTTGCATAATAAGCCTGAAATAAAGATCAAGTGCTTGATTGTGCTTGATTTTGCATCTGTCAGGTTTGCTAGTAATTTTTGGGTTGCACTCAGAATTTTAGTGCCAAGCTGGGGTAGAGGAGACTTAGTGATAAATAAATTTGATTTGGGGCTAATAGTCCCTAGACATGGAAAACCTTTAATATTTTGAATTCTTTACTTTTATGGTCTTTAGATAATATAGCTATAAATAATGCAGCCATGCAGCCATTTTTTTTATTATTATCATTCAGCTTTTGCTTGTTATCCATCAGGCAGTATGTAGGCAGATATTAGCTTGTCAAAACTGAAAAACTCACCAGGGGTGAAGGAAACAGAATCATCATGCTTGCTCTCCGCAGTCCATGCAAAAAGTTTATTTCGAAAACAAACCTTATTCTTAAGAAATGAAAGGAATGATGACTGATGCACAGTGAGAACAGTGAGGTGTTCTGCATCTGAATGCGAAGTCTCTCAAGCTGTAATGTGAAAAGCCTGGTGCCAGTGGAGTGCTCCAGGGATTTTTCAGCAATGTTTCCAATTAGGGCTGGCTCTTGTTGTCTGTAAAGTACTGTATATTTTTTGTAACATAGCTGGAAGCCTGTCAGGTTCTTTTCACAACTTGTAAAAACTGGTGATTGGAAAGATGAGCTTGCAATGCTCCCCATACTTAGTCCTCTTGGTAATGATCTGTTTTCTTCTGCATCTTTTTTGTTGCAGTCATGCTCTCCAGGATTTTACAGGCTTCCATCTTCATCTTCAGGAAGGACACCTGCTCAGTCCTTAGGAGCTTGTGTTTTATGTCAATGTCACGGACACAGTACTATGTGTGACTCTGAAACATCAGTTTGTCAGGTATTGCATTTCTGAACTTATGCATTAGGTTAATCTTAATGTAAAATTCATAAGTTGTGTAACTGATCTGAAAAAATAGAGGACAATATTTTAATCCAATTTTGCTTAAATAGGTGAAGTGTCAAAGTTAAAGGGGAGTCAAAAAAACAAACCATCTAGCTTTAGAGATTTGCATTCTGGTATTCTAGATTTCAGTGCTTTTTTGCCCATGAATTACTACTTGTTTAAAAAGAAAAACTAGATACCTGCAAATTAAAGAGGTGATGTACCATATGTTGTGCAATAAGCACAATTACTGCTCTTATAGGTAATAATACACATGACCTGATACAGTAAGATTGAATTCTAATTGTTTATTTCTCCTGCTTCAATGTCTGGAACAAAGGAGGGAGGGAAGGGTGAAGGGGATAAGAAATTCCATAGGATGCATCTGTCTAGCTGCAGGCCTCCATTCTTTCTCCTGTAAACCCATATATAACTCAGCAGGCATTTGATAGATGCTTAATGCAAGCAGTCCCACTGCAAATCATATCAGGAAGAGAGAAATTATGAATCAAAATAAGTTTGAATCCCTGAGGCTGGGAAAAAAATATTGTCTGCTTTCTTGTAATTATCAATTGCAGCTTTCATTCTGTCTCCTTCCTCTGCAGAATTGTCAGCACAATACTTCTGGTCACCACTGTGAGAGATGTGCGCTGGGGTTTTATGGCATTGTCCAAGGCTCTCCGGATGACTGTCAGCCTTGTGCTTGTCCCCTGTTTATTTCAAGTAACAAGTAAGTGAGCAAACTCGTGACACAGGGTTACCTTTCCAGCAAGCAAGAACTTTGTTTTGGTCTCGTGTCCTTTTTCAGATAGCTACAGGATAACTGCATCATGTTAGCCATACTAAAAAGTTTCATATCAACTTTTACTAATTGATCTTCCTTTAAAAGTTGGAAATTGCTTCCGTGCTAATTTGTGATGAATAAATTAATAAGTGGTAGAAAATGCAATATTCAACAGATAATGAATATGTGTTATAAAGGTATTCTCACGAATGAAGCTAAAGCAGAACTCAAGTACAGTATAGCCATACAGGAGCTGTAAAAAGTCTTATGCTCATATGTTTTGTTGGTATGAACATGTTACGGTGCCTTTCTAGCTCCACTGTGGAATTTATTGATTCCTTAATTAATGTTACGTGTGTTTTAGGCAATTTGTGAAAGATAGAAAAATTTAAAAGCTATATAGTTATTGCAGCATCAATTTTATTGGTTACTTTATGCTAATGAGCCTTGCCATGATGTCTCTGCATGTGTTCCCAACAAATGATCCTTTAGCACTTGAGACTTGTTTGTTGTTTTGCTGAAAAGCTCTTAATGATATTTGGAATCATACCATAGTACTACTCTGAAAAGGTTTGTGTTTCATGATCATTCTCTTGAAAGGTTGGAAGTGTTCCTTAAAACCATTTTTCTGTGCTTTGTCTGACCTTTAGAATGTTTTAGTGAGTATTTCAACCAGTGTATCTGAGAGGTTGGGTTTTTTTTTTTTTCTTATTCATTTTATAATTTTGAGGTGGTCTGAGGTTTATTTTGAAGGAAGGAATTGCTTTCTCAAACATCATAATCTTTCATCCACAGCAAATGTTTCTAAGAAGACTTCCAAACTTCATAAATACCAAAGTGACAACAATCAGAACAATTATAAAAGAGGTTTAAAGAAATACCCTTTGTCTCAGAAAGTTATAATGTTGTCTTAACTGCAAGTTTTTCTGAGTGACACCCTTTTTCATGAGAGTCTTCTGTTACAACTTGATTATGTGTTCTACCTACTAGTATCAAGAAAGAACATTTAAGTTGCAAAGAAGAGAATTGGCCAAGCTTCTCAGCTTTACACATCAGCAAATACACTGTAAAAAACTTCTGTTACTAACTGGCAGTAGGAAGTGCTGAAAATGTAATTTGATCCTATTATTTTTTTTTTGGGGGGGGGGGGGGCTTAAGAACCTTTGGTTGCCCAGAAATACAGGTGTCAGATCAGATAATGAGCAGGACTCTTCACCTGGGTGGTTATGGCAGCCTACTACAAGAATTTAGACACATTCTCCACACCATGCTCCAGAAACCACTTCAGTACCTTATCTAACATAAAACACAGGAAAGGGCTGTCACTGAAGTGCTCTACAGTTGAGAAATGTGTGGATCCAGATGGTGCGTGTGTCCTGGGTGCACACTCAAATTGCTGAGCTGCCGGAGGAAGAGAGAGCAAGCGAAGCGCCAATACCTCATGCAGACACATGGCCTGCATGATTCTGGATGTTGCCAGGGACTTTGGTGTCCTGCTCACATAAACGTGATCATGAGGCTTTTTTGTTCAAAAGTTCATAGGAGATAAATGAATGACACCTAGTCTGAAGTTAGTAAATACATTTAATCATGAGATGGTCATCCAATTTCTAGTGCTGTCAAGAGAGGAGTCAGATCTGAACATGTCTAGAAACAGAACAGCTTGGGTTTTACAGAGTTTAATTCAGATGTCTCTAGACATCATGGATGGGATTTCTACTGCTGTTGGTTGTAGCCACCAACAATTTTGATACCTATATAGTAAATGCAAGGACAGACAGCTATACATCTCACCCATGTTAAAACTGAAGGAAACCACCATTGCAGAGAGGACAAGGGAGATGTTTCAAATGTGTTTGTATGTCTGTCTGTGCATCTCCATTTTCCACTGCTGATAGAGGGTGCCTGAACTGTTCATTTAGACTGCATGCCTAACTTTTAGATGGATAGGCCAAGGTGGGATAGATCCATTCCATAAAGCTACAGAATTAGGTGGAAAGTGAGGGTATCACATCTTGGATTTGTGTGTGTGAAACAGCTCAGTGAAAGTTCTTCAGGATGCTTTTATGGAAAAAAATATGACTACCTGCAGCTATTGTATGGTAGTCAAGTAATCACAATCTGGATTAAATGCAGATACCTAATGAGCTATCACATTAGCTTATTGTATCCTGACTGACATGATAATATTTGTGAATAAGTATAGTGTAATTACATTTCTTTATGAAATTTTACAGAATTCCACTAAGGTTTTAAATACTGTTTTTACACTCCTGTACAATCTGCAGTCAGCTTCAAACATGATGAGCTTAAAAAAAAAAAAAAAAAAAAAAACAAAAACGAAAAAAACAGAGAGAATGACTTATTCTGGATCTATTTTCATAGAGTTGAAAATATGTTGGATAATGAGTTTGTGAGTAACGCATCAATTTGTTTACATTTTTTTGCAAAGGTGTAATTTTATATACTCATTCAAGCACTATTCATTTGATGCATTATAAGCATTATAAGCAGGATGCTGACTGTACTGTACCAAGCTCTGGACTGACCACTAGCCAACTCAGTGCTTTTCTGATTCTTCTTCCACAAAGAGCTGCATGAGTTTTACAGTATTGCACCATTTTAATACTTAGGTGTGTTTCTTTTCCCCTACCTACCCTTTTTGTTATTGTAACTCTCTGTGCAGGCACTTAATGCATGAATATTCCAGCAACATGCTACTTTGCACAGTTCCCATAGGCACACACAGCAGTCGCTAGCTATTTATCTATGGCATGGCTTAGTAAAATAATCTAGTGTCTTCTGTGATTAAAATACGACCCCTCCCTGATCACAAAGAAGGTAGCTTTTAGGTATTTTTTCTCTGTAGGCCAGTGTTTTCCCTTCGGTACATCCTTGAAAAGATCATCTGACGCTACCTGTTGGGAAGATTCCACATGGTTATGACTTCGGTTCCTTTCTCCCTCTTTATGTCTTATCTCTGAGTAAACACTTCCCACCTTATCTCCTTTTATTCAAACTAAAATGAAATTAGACTGGAGAGGCTGGATGTTTGTTAGCTCAGTTTCTTAACCTTTTGTTTCACATCCTTCTCCTTACTTCCTTTTATTGATCACTGTGAGTGACAGCACCATTTAGTCACACAAGCCTACAGCACGGGCGCTGTTGACTCCATTGCCTCGGATATGACCCTCGTTGATTCTGCCCTTCCAGCATCTGTCTAAATTGGGCCAGTATCACAAAAGGTGTTCACAAAATTCTTAATAGAAAGGAGGGATCTCCCACAGGTGTTCGTAAACAGATAAGAAAACACTGCCATTTGCATTAAGAGTGGAGCTTACCATGGGTCCTTCTGCACAGCTGACTGGAGTGAAATGGCGCAATAGAGTGGAAGAAAGTTTTTTATTTGCTTTTGTTTTAGTTTCAGCCCTTCTTGTGTTGCCGAAGGACCTAATGATTACCGGTGTACTGCATGCCCACCTGGATATGAAGGCCAGTACTGTGAAAGGTAGGATGAATGGAAACAAAAGAAAGAGGAACAATGAAAAGCAGGCCAGAAATGAAGGACAGCTAAGTCCTTCAATACTATAAACATGTATTTATTAATGTTTAAATACATGCCTTTGTTTATTTCCTCTTCATATGTTCTTAAAACTCAGCTATAATAGGCAATTTTTATGCACCCACTGTAAATTGATAATCAGTGTTATTTATATCACAGATATTGTCCTAGTCTTACTTTGTGATTTGTTTTTTTCCCCTGGACCTCAGAAGTTGAACCAAAAAATACAAAATTTATCTAAAATATGATACCAGGCTTATAATGTGTCTTGATGTCACTCATGCCCTTTGTTCTAGTGACTATTGTGTCCTTATGGACACTAATTGTGAAAGACACATATAAGCATATTAATGACCAAATTGCAAATTAATAACCTAAACAGCAGCTGTTGTCCCACCCATAACAACGCTGTGGGATTAAGATTATCAAAATTAGCAAGTGTCGACTATGAGATTTCACTTCTAATGCAAAACACAAGTGGCTACTGGGGGAAAAAAAGGTCTATAGACCAGACATTACTAATGTAGAAACTTTTGTCATGGTATAATAGAAGTTTAACTGAAAACTGTTAGGGTGTGGAATCACTTTTGCATACTCCTTCCATCCAGGCTGTTCCATGTCCTGGTTAAAAGTTATTAGCAGTTTGTTGGACAGTTTGCAACATTTCTCCCTCTACAAATGCATCCTGAGTCATAAAGCACCAAAGATTTTTTTTAGTGGTTCATGAATGAAGGTTCATTTATATTTTGTTTACAATCTTGCCACATATTCATTGTAGTACACTATATGCCTCCATTGGCCAAACCTGGTTTTGTATTTGCATTGTCTAGATGTTCTTCTGGCTACACGGGAAATCCACAAATTCCAGGAGGCTCCTGTCAGGAATGTGAGTGTGATCGATACGGTTCCCTGCCTGTCCCCTGTGACCCTGTCACTGGACAGTGCACTTGCAAGCCTGGATTCACAGGGTGGAAGTGTGTTGGCTGTGAACATCGGCATGCACGTGATGGCATGAAATGCATTTGTACGTATACTAACATAATTTTGGAGAATTTTTGATTGTGTTTGTCATATTTCAGAAATCCAACTCTGCTTGTGCATCAGTCAGTTGTGTGTGTTACTTTGAAAATAGTTTGCCAGGTTTCTTACTACTTTGGCATTCTGGTCTGTTTGTTTCACAAGCCTTGAGATGTTAGGAAAACTCTTGATACTTTTTAATATGCTCACTGAAAACTGACAACAGAGCTTTGATGGATTTCTTTTTGTGCGTTTTTGAAGTTTGTGGTTTTGCTAAAGGTTGTCACTGCTGTTATGACAATATTTACTCTTAGTGAATTTTTCAGTGTTGTCCTAAATGTTTAACCAGCGATTGCAATGCTCTATGCCATGAGTCACACAGAAAGTTTTTACCAAGATTTGCTTGGTCATATTGGTTCAACAACCATCCACTGGAATTTAAAGACATAAGGAATGACAGCACAGTATATCCAGGAACAAAGACCTTCCTTTGTTTAAAACAGAAAACTAATAGCCTAAACCACCAAGTTACATTTTATAGTACTGGTATCTTTGCTCTACGTTCAGTTTTGATATGTACCAAATGTTTTGTCTTTTAGTATTGTTTGGCTTTTTTTTTTTTTTCCCCTTGCAATTAGGTGGTGTTTGTTTTGAGCCCACAGTCTCATTTCCCATTATATTATATGCTTATGTCTTATAAAAAAATTTCAGGTAGCAAAACTTTTCTAGAACACTTAGTAAATCCTGACTGAAATAATGCATTTTCCTCTCTTCCATCTCCACTAGCTGAATAGGAACTAATTTTATTGTGACTGTTTTTTTTTCCCCTGGAGGCTATTACTGTTCATTTTGAAGAAGAATACAGCTAGGGACCCAGTAAGTCCTGAGTATATAATATTTCCTAATCTGTGCATCTTCAGATATTGCAGAAAGGCACAATGAACTTGTTTTAATGTTTTCCCTGATTTTTATCTGTTATAGGATTTTAATTGGAGGTTTTTCATTTTGGGTTTGTTTTTTTTTTTTGCCTATGTGAGGGACATGTAACATCAAGGCAAGTAAATACCAGAAAGGTTTGTTGGGTTTTTTTCAGAGAATGCATTCAGTCTTTGCCTCAATAGCCAGAGGTGTACAGTTCTCTAATATAAAAATTAGCTAGTAAAAGCACAAACAAATTGCAAACGTTATAAAAGCACATTGGAAAAATAAAGAAAACAAGGAAGTGCTAAAAATGGCTGAAGTTATCATATCTGTCAGGAATGAAATGTGTGGCTTCTTTGAGTGGTTAAAGAGGAAGACTTTAGGCATGTAGGGTCAGGGACTACACAGTGCAGAACATTTTTTCACTCAATGATTGTGATCAGCTCTCAGAGAGTGGTCGGGACTTAGCAGGACTAAGTTTCTACATGTGACTATTGGCTTCAGTGCTTTTGCATTAGTTCTGATGCCCAGATACAAGCCTTCTCTGAGAATGAATAGATTACTGGGAATATAGACATAAATACTTCTATTACTGCATTATTAATAATATGACATTGGTTCACTGATGAAAAGCTTAGTGTCCTTAGGGGAAGTAAAGTCCTAATCATAGAATCATAGAATAGTTTGACTTTGAAGAGACGATGGAGGTCATCTAGTCCACCCCCCCTGCCATAAGCAGGGACATCTTCCACTAGATCAGGTTGCCCAGAACCCCATTGAACCTGACCTTGAATGTTTCCATGGACAGGGCATCTACCACCTCCCTGGGCAACCTGCTTCAGTGTTTCACCACCCTAAGTGTAAAATATTTCTTCCTAATATCTAAGATAAATCTATCCTCTTTCAGTTTATAACCATTACCCTTTGTCCCATTGCTACAAGCCCTGTTAAAAAGGTTATCCCCATCTTTCTTATAAGCCCCCTTTAGGTACTGAAAGGCCGCAATCAGGTCCCCTTGGAATCTTCTCCTCTCCAAGCTGAACAACCCTAACTCTCTCAGCCTCTCCTCATAGGGGAGGTGTTCCAGGCCTTTGATCATTTTCATGGCCCTCCTCTGGACCCACTTCAACAGGTCCATGTCCTTCCTGTGCTGAGTGCTGCAGAGCTGGATGCAGTACTCTAGGTGGGGTCTTACGAGAACAGAGGGGCAGAATCACCTCCCTCGACCTGCTGACCACGCTTCTTTTGATGCAGCCCAGGATGCATCTGGCTTTGTGGGCTGCAAGCGCACATTGCTGGCTCATGTCCAACTTCTCATCCACCAGGACACCCAGGTCTTTCTCTGCAGGGATGCTCTCAATCTCTTCATCCCCCAGCCTGTATTGATACTGGGGGTTGCCCTGACCCATGTGTAGGACCTTGCACTTGGCCTTGTTGAACCTCATGAGGTTTTCACAAGTCCACTTCTCCAGCTTCTCAAGGTCCCTCTGGATGGCATCCCATCACTCAGGGGTGTCAACCTCACCACTCAGCTAATGTCCTGCAGTATGATGTCTAGGACTTAATTCTGAACTATCGTATATCTTAAACTCTACTTTAAACTACAGCAAAATGAATGCAGATAGAGTAAGTAGCTACTTGGCTGAAATAACTACGCTTTAGATTCCATTTTGTGGCCTACATGTCAAGGAGAACTGCAGTTGTGAGTTAAGTCTGTAAGTGTTACAGCTACAAAATTTTATAATAAGGACTGTGTTTTCTAGAGTGGCATCTAAACAAAAATTACTTAATTTTCAATATTCTGAATACCTGTTACATTACTTCCAGTACTAGCCAATGTTTTCAATCTCAGGGACAGCTCACTATGTTTTTTTATAGGTCATTTACCTTATCAGTATCCTGAAAAGTCTTTTGGATATGCAGGATTGTACAGTTTCTTTGTATAAAACAGATTAAGTGCAGGTTTCTAGTTTGTTAATCAGACTATTTCATTTTGTGGATAATAAGGTTAAAAATCCTCACTGTGAATGGGAAAAGCTGGGTGCAGGCAAATCAAATTTTCCACCTTTTTGCTTTGAAAAATGTGATTTGCTTCAATCTGTGATTTAACAGCAACATATTCATGTGTCGGTGATGAAAAGCATCTGTATTACCTGCAGTGACATTTTAAGTTCAATTAAATAATCAGTTTTCACCATTCAGTCCTTTGCAGGTGCATATAGACATTTCATGTTATTGTTAGAAGTAAGGAATCAAATGAAAAGATTTGTTTCCTTTAGTCATAAAAATAGGAACCACCTATAGGAACAGATGGGAGGTACTTTAAATCTCCTCTATCCCAGGAACTAGTCTGTTACCATTGACACCACATCAATAACATCCATATCATAAATTACAAAAACTGCAATTAAGTATTTCAGTAGACACTTTATGCTTATTTGCTCTTACTATACAATTTTCCTTTTGTTTAAACATTCCTCAGTTCCCCTATTACTCCAAATCCACCTTTGCTAATGCAGAGCAATACCCCTGACATGATAGAAAACCAGCCTGGTCAATAAACCGTTTAGCTTTGTAGCCTGTGGTGTGGGGCTTTGGCAGACAAAATGAGTGTGGCAAGCATAGATTTGGTGGGAATTTGTCTGTGGTTCACACTGACTAGTATGTCACAAGCTTCAGAGCCTGTTTTCTTCCAGTAGGGTTTCGTTGCTGCGGCCTCTAATGTGCTTTAATAGTCATTGTGCTGTCAAAGAACCATTAGAAACACCTTTTGGGGAAACCCTGAAGCTTTCCTTCTTTACTCCCAGAACATTAGTCTATTCCAGTCTGAGTTTAATGCAGCTGAGAATTTGGTCCTGTATACAATGTATTTTCAGTTTTGTGTATCAGCCACTTCCAAAACACTCAGGAAATTCCCTTCTGACTAGCTTCAGTTGTAACGGAACCTTAATGGTAATGATTATAGTGATTAAATACTGTTAATGTACAGAAAATTAATGCCATATGAAGAATCCTGTTTGCATCCAGTATTTCAAATGAGCTGTATGCATGTATCTACTTTTGCTCAGTTGCAGAGTTCCATTTCAAATACTACAATTGCATTGGACCTGTCAGAAGTGTGAAGAACCCGTAGTTAAGTGGTAAATAGTCTAGCTTAAAGAAAATACATGCAAATATAATCACCCATGTTTGAAAAAATGTAGTTGTAAGTAATATAAAACATAGTGTGATTAAGCTGTCCAGTGTTACATTCTGTAAAAGTTCGCCACACAGTGTGATATGGAAGCTAAATAATGCATATTTAAGTCCAATTAGAGAGATAGCCACAATATTGTAGTGTATTATTGTTTAAATGTAACATTTATATTTTAATGGATACCTTATCATAAGTATTCTAAAGATTTTAGAGTGGAAATTACAATGAAAAGACAGAAAAAAATCTGGAGGAGCTTACATGTTCATTAAAGTGATCTATTTCTGATATAGCTTAGAATCTGTTTTACCAGGTTCTTGCTGGTTTTCTCATAACGTGTCGTTTTTCAGTTGCTTAGTGCATGCCACTTTTCAGTGCTGTTATAACAGTTATATTTTAGAAAGCCACAGGTAGAATGGGAAGATAATATATTTTTTAAAAGCCACCGTACAAAGGGGAAGAATCTGTTTACTGCTAAACGACAATGGAAAGATAACTACGAGATAACTACAGACAGAATTCCCTTCCCTTATTCTTAGAACATAACAACGTTGTTTTCTCTAGGATGCCATTAGGGGATGGAAAATGATATCTGAAGAGTAGATTTTTTTTTTTTTATAAGTAATACAAGAGTCTGAATGGTCTCCTACACATCATAAAAAATCCAAGTTTTTTTGCATTATTACGGTTAATAGCTGAATTATTTCCCCAGCTAAAATGACCATCTAGGTTGTCATATACAGATACTCATAATACTCTGCTGATGAAGACTTCCTTGTAATTTTAAGTTTCAAGAAATGAACTTCTTAGGCTTTCCCTTTTCTTTTGAAACAGTCAGTAGCCAATAAGACAATTAGTGATGATTGCAAACTAGTTTTAATAATGCTGCCAACATCCTTGTATACTGTCTAATATGACAAAAGTTCTCACAAATCTTCTCTAATTTTTTATTAGATTTTTATTTCATTTGTAACTGCAAATGAATTGTCCTCTAAATAATTGATGCCCACTTATACATCACTCTTTTTCACTGTAATAAATATATCTCAATGGTTATTCTGCTGAAAGTTGTCAACTGGCAATTGCCTATAATCACTACAGTATTGCAGATGTATTTTTTTCTGTTTGCATAGTTAAACCCCATCATTCCACTCCAGAACATAGCTGAGTTGTGTGATGAACAGGAGCAGCCTTTCCTCAGTTCATCTGTACCCAGCATGCTCAGGCAGACTGAGATCATTAGTATTTGCTTGACTTGTATTTTACACATACTTACCAGAATATGTCAACAAGCCAAAGTATTGCTCTCTCTTGATCCTTCCCAAAGAGCTTTGACCTTAACAAGCTGAACTAAACTACCTAAAAGGAGGTTGCAGTGAGGTGGGTGCTGGCCTCTTCTCTAAAGTGAGAAGTGATAGGGCAAGAGGAAATGGCCTCAAGTTGCACCAGAGGAGGTCTAGGCTAGATATTAGAAAAAATTTCTTCACTGAAAGAGTGATCAGGCATTGGAACAAGCTGCCCAGGGAAGTGGTGGAGTCACCATCCCTGGAGGTGTTCAAGAAAAGTGCAGATGTTGTGCTTAGGGACATGGTTTAATGGGTTAGGTGGTGTGGGTTGATGGTTCGACTTGATGATCCTTGAGGTCTTTTTCCAACCTTAATGATTCTATGATTCTATGAAGTGGAAATCAGGAGCTACGAGGAGTTTTGAATCAAGCCTGTAGCAATCGTGCATTTTCTTAGATTAGTAATTCTCTTGTGTATTTTTTGTTATACCTTCTGACACGCTGCTTCACTTCATTTATAGAGTTTGTACTATGTAAAATGAAGAACCTCAGCTTGCAGTGTTGTTGGAACAGTGACGGTGCTTGCTACTGTGCAGTGTTTAGGGAAAAGAACGATCCTAGTGAGAACTTCAAGACTTTATTGTTAAACATCTGACAAGTCAGAACTCACTTTCCGAATGTTTTCAGGGCACCAGTCATGACTACAATGGGGACTTCAAAAAAATTTAGCTTCAATATTTTGAACTCTGTTGCAACACAAATTGCAAAACATTTCCTCAGATGTATCCTCCTGTCGTAAATTTTCCTTGAGGTCAAGCAAAAACCTAAATGTAAAGCAGCCGATGTGGTTCTGCTGTACAAGATTACAGGGAACAGTAAGAAATCATGACAGAGATCAGACAGATATTTAATTGTTAGAAATTTTTCTTTAACTCAGTCTTGTGGTAAAAATGGATGTTCAGCCATGCTGTGGTCAACAAACTTACATCTGTACAAATTTAAATATTCAATATTGGTAGAAGGAGAAAATTATATAATCGGATTCCTTTAATAGTAGGTCTTGGACACTTCAATATTGTAGTCTAAGTAGAGTGGTGCTTGCAGTGAGAAGCAGCTTTGTGCAGCAGCCACACAGTTCTGCACCAGGAGAACAAGGTTGCTCCTAGCCGCTGGTCCTGGCAGAATCAAGGTTTTCCTTCTAAAATACAGAGTAGCTCCATGACCTCAGCCCTTCCAAATTCAGAACTAAGCAGAGATGCTGACTCTGTCAGAGGCAGGTCTTGAAGAATCTATGAAAATAAGTATCTCCTAGCTCCTACACAGTCCTTAATTCAGAAGCTTCTTATTGCAAGCCTTCACAGAGTGAGCTGAAAAGAAAGATACCATGTGTAGCACCAGATCTATGAAGTCCTGGACTAACTTCTGCTATGTTCTGAATTTAACAGAAGTTGTGAGCCCTTATGGCACAGCCATAAAAATTAAACTTATCTCTGTGCTGGGCAACTGCTTCTCTGTCCACATGAGCTCAATAACAGATGAGCACCCCTTCTTGGCCTAGAAGCTGCTAAGCTATCAGTTGCTCTCTCTTTTCTTGATGCATGAGCTCCTGTTGAGTTTAGACCCACACTCCAATATCTTCCACCCAATTCAAGCACTATGTAACCTTAACTAGTAGTGGTATGTATCATAAGCAGCAAATTAGGCTTTCTAAATAACGAAAATCAGAAATAAACCTGAGTCAGTACTTTAAATCTTCATCTGGATCTGAATTTTCCCAGATTTTGCAGACATATTGATCATGCAAATTCCCTGGAACCAGCAGCAATGGCTGCTGAGAAAATGAGAAAAATGGGGTAACAGCCAACAGATAACAAGTCAAACAATAGTTCAACACTTTATTGTGAAGCAATGGGAAACTAATACTGAAGAGTCACTGACGATCATAGGATACCACCTCATATCAGAGGTTGCATGGTTGCCCTTAGACCAAAAATTACTTAGTCATAACACAGTCTTCTGAATCTTAACAGCAATTAATGTATTAAAGCAATATTGTGTTAGGTAATCGCTCAGTTGGAGGAACACATTGTGGCTTGGACACGTAATTCCTCTATTGTACATTATCTTCTTTTTGTAAGGTGGAATAAGTAGTTAGATGTCCATAAACTTTTATTATTTTAGCAATTACTAAAAAAAAAAATATTCTTTGGTATGCATACTTTGGAGATGCTTCTCACAAGAGGTAAGTCCAAATCCTTACAGGACTTTTTGTGCATGGGAAAGTGTGGTGAAAATGGAAATTGCAGTAATTTGCATTAATTGCTTGCTGAACTATTGTAATATTGACTGCATGATCTGGCTCTTACGTACTTGCACTGCTGTAATTATCTGAATTTAGTGCTGCATTTGTTAATATTAGACACAAACTGATCCTGACAGTGTTATAGATAGACACAGATAGACACAGCAGTATTTAGTCTTGCAAAATATAGTCACGCTCTTGAAAAATTTCCCGTAGCTACAGTAGATTTCAGACTACGTATTGGAGTAGCTTAGCCTTGTCTCATCTACTCAACTGTGGTCCTCACTTGATGTAGTTCTTTTCAACCTGATTATTGTGCAAGAGGTGTTAATTTATACTGAATGCTCACTTATCAATTGTTTACTCATTGAGGATACTTAATCTCTTCATAAACTGTTTATTTTTTTCTTACTGGTGTGAGTTTAATTTGTCTTTAACACATAGCAATTTTTTAGCATTTTATTACAAAACACTCTTGACAATTTTGAGGATTAATAGATTTACCTTGTTTCACAAGTGAAACAATGTATCAGAAAAAGAAACCAAAACAAACAAGCAAAAAACCCAAACAACAAACCAACTCTTTTCAGGTCCAGGATCACTTATTTGCATCCTGCAAAATGTTTATCAGTCAGGTCTGCTTACCTTCTTGACCAGCTGCAGAACAGGTGTTTGTTATATAAAACATTCAGTTGGCTGTAAAACTTCCTTTTCTTTTAATTCTCTTGGATTTCTAAAAGCAAGCACACAGATGACAAGAGTTGGGATGGTAATAGGTTTTTATTTTTTTTAATTTCACATAGAAACAGAAATCAAAATGTACCATGCCTACAGTGAACAACTGCAAAGAAGTTCCAGTGCAGTTCAGCTTATGTAACAAAATACTGTGAAATAGGAGGAAGTCTGCAAATGGAAGCAATGAAAATGCAAAAGGAACTCTTGAAATGACAGTATCTAGCTTTCTACACCCACTTCTTACTTCACTAATCCAGCATCTGTCTTGTCTGCTTTTCAATTATCACATGAGTTTCATGGTGTATTAAACTAGTACTTGTTATTCTTGTTTTTGCTGCATTTGACTCAAATCCTTGCTATATTGAACAACCAACCTCCAGAATTAGAACAACATTCTCTGATGAAAATTACGTCTCTTTTTCTACAAAAACATACATGTTGTTTAGTGTTTTCTTAGCCATTGAGCTTCCCAGGAGTGTTGCTGAAATACATAATTGCATACTTACAAAACTTTAGGTATAACCCTTCATATCTCTTTACATCACCAGTGAATTCATTGTTTCACAGTTTGCTCCATCTCCTGAGATGTTGTTTAGGTTTACCAGTCCTGCGCAGCATCTTTATGCCAGGAAACAGACAGGCATTCCCACAACTCCGATCCAGAGGATGAAGAATTTTCCTGTCTGCAATATAAATGATACAAGACTTTAAGGTTATGAGAATTTCTTGTGAAAGTTAATAGAAAGCAAGGTAGGGGGAATGCAAACTCTTTTCCAGTATATGCAGCACACAGTAGCATTTTTCATGCTAAAGAGTATTTGTGAGAAAGGAAGCATACACAAAAAATTTAAAAGCTGATTAGTTAAAAGAGGTAGGGGAAAGCATTTCTTAGAAGAAAGCTATAAGTATTTTTACCTGGACTCTTTCTGCTGTCTGCATTACAAGTTAAGCAAACTAGGCCATGCTGTTGTATGACTATAAAGTATGTAAATTGTAAGATTTCTGTAGTTTTTCTTACATTCAAATCTGTAGCCATCTGTAGCTTCTTAAAGTACTCCTTAGATTTTCCAAATTACCTGTCCACTTTTCTCAAACTTCATCCAAATTGCTTGTCTAATTCAGGATTCTATATTGGCTAGTCTATAATAGCATTAATTATTTCCTCTTTTTGTGAGGTAAGCCTACCAATTTTGCTCTTCATGTTTTATACTGAACTGTCCCGTTAGAAAGTCCTAAGCAATGAGGCCTTTCCTGTTCCCTAGGTGTTGTTTCCATTTTTCTCACACTATGCTTTTGGGCTAAATTATCTGACGTTAGTGTTACCTCTCACAGAATTTTATCCGTGACACGAAATTTCTAACTCAAACATATGTCTTAAACATTTAGTGGGAATAAATAAGCTTTGTTGTTCTTCCCCACAGCTTGTGATGATGAATGCACAGGACTCCTTCTCAGTGACCTGGATCGGCTAAACCAGATGATCCTGAGTGTTAACCTTAGTGGTCCACTGCCTGCTCCATATAAAATGTTGCATGGTTTTGAGAACATGACACAGGAATTAAGGGTATGTTCACAGTACTGATGTACATAAATAACAGGGCTTCAGTACAACTCTGGTTGAATCTGTTCAAACATACAGCTGTGAGTAGGTTCAAGGAAGAAGAAAACTTTAAGATTTAATTACTTCAAACTTGCTTTGGTTGATAAATGGTTATTACAGCTATTTATTTTGACTTATTTTAATAAATAAATCTTGCAGCAGTAATTTGCAGACATATATGCAAGGAATTATATTGCAGGCACAGAAGAAGTGATGCTGCATACAAATAAAATAGTGTTCATGCTAACGGTCCATAAAGTGGTTATGTATTTCATATACTGTATGTTCCCTACCATACTTATAGGTTCACCACTAAACTATGTAAAGCTGTCAAGATTCCTGAGAAAAGTATGTTGGATGGATGTGACACAAGAGTCAATGAAAAAAGGGAGTTGCATACTGTAATGAAAAGGAAATTTTTGATGCTTCTTCTACACAATATTTGGAAGCACTGACATCCATTAAATACAGATTTTCACTCTCCCTCCTCCCTTCCCCAACAGCATTTGCTTTCACCTCAGCGAGCACCAGAGAGACTTCTTCAGCTAGCACAAGAAAATCTGGATACCCTGGTGACAGAAATGGATGAATTACTGACAAGAGTAAGTCTATGATCATGTTGGGGTGTATGGGTTTGGTTAAGGCTGCATAATGACAGAAATCTTCTGAATATGAATTAAATATGAATGAATAAATGAATTATAAGGTGCTTCTCAGTCTCAGTGTTTGAAATGGCAGCAAGTCGTCTAACAACCTCATTTTGTGGGCCAATACATTGAAATATATTTTCTGCAAAACTTTATAATAATGTAAGAAAAATTTATAATGCTCATACAGAGCACCCAAGAACAAGCTCATTTGGAAAAGCTGCCACTAAAGTAAAGAGTTCTTGATATAGTACTTATGGGCTTTCCCATTACTTCAACGACAAGTATGTTACAAACCCAATGGCAACAAAACCATGGGATTACCACACAGCTTCTCACACTTACATCTCTTACATCATCAGTTTTTCTTTTACTGGCTGAGGCTTTTGGAAACTGAACTGCCTGGTTTCCTTCTTTTTCTTCTGAACGTTAGTGCTGTCTCTGGTAAGGCTATCTATTTTCTCCATCAGCAGCATCATCTCATCAGATTCCCTTTCAAATCTCCTGAGTCTGACTGCCTCAAGGTAGTTGTCAGCCTGTTTCTCTTTTAAGATTGTCTGTTGCAATACAAGTAGCCTGGCTCCACTCAGAGTTACTTCGTGCCCAACCATCTCAAGATGGAGGAAAAGTTTCTCTGTTTTACAGTTTCATTTTCCATTTCTGGGTTACCTGTTGATGTTGGCTTGTTTCTCCAGGAGCTGTGTAGCAAATGGTAGCCTAGCCCAATTCACATATTTTAAAGACATTTTACAGCAAGGAAATGGAAGTCCCAGTTTAACAAATAACAAGCTCTCATTAAGAGTCAATGAATGAAGTAATTGAAATGGGAACAATATTTAAAAGGAGATTTCAAATATATGTACAAGGTGTGTGATTTTATTTGAATGTATGTGTTCTATATTTCCTTTATGAGGGTAGTGAGGATCTTCTGGATTTCAGTCGATGTGCTATTTACTCTTTTTATTAGAAAAGTTTTATTTCAATATAGACCTTATTTTGGTCAGTAGACATCGTCTAAGAAAATAACAAATTCTGCCACCTAGTGGAGAAAAATTTAGGGAAACGGACAAGGCACAATAAAAATATAGCTGTCCAAAACATATTAACATGAAGGACTAGCAAAAAAAGTTTTTCCCCATATCTGATTTGCAGACTCACTAAATTTTCAAAGTGAAACCAGTAGTGATGATGGAAAAGGTTGATGAGGATTGATGAGGAGTCTATTTCCATGAAAAAATAAAATAATTATATAATTTTAAGCTGATGTCATTTTTAAGATTAAATCTTGAAGACAATAGTATTTAGTCACTACAAATTACTAAATACTGGCGTTTTTGCTTCCTTGTGGTCTCTTTTCAACCAGTAGTCTCTTCCATCAGTGCAGCACTCCTTTTTCTTTTTTTCCATCCTGTTCTTTCTTTCATTCAGTCTGCCATACAGAAGATCTTCACATCTTTCTCGCACTAATTATGTTCTTACATGATTGCATGCACATTTGCGCATCTCCCACCAGAAGCAGACTTCAGACTGTTCACTTCCTTTCAGTTCACTAGTTCTAGTCAAAACCCCCTCTTTCCTTCTAATTAATTACCTTCCGAGCCTTCAAGAAAGACAGGAATCAGAACCACTCCGCTTGATTGAAATGCTTATTTTGACTTTGTAAACTTTGTCATTTCTCCCATACCACTGAATTTCTAAAGCTCAAGAATTTCTGGAAGTAGTAGCAGAAGCAACTTAGTTTGCAATAGCTGGAAGCATTTGGAAGGAGAGCCGAGAACTTCCATCTGTACAGTGAGGTCTGTGTTTACTCCTCCTTCTGTAGTCTGCAGCTAGAGAAATTCCTGTAGGGCTCTCCTCCAGATGCCATCCAGAGGAGCTTCTTATGGCTTGATTAAGACCTCAGACTAAATACACAGAACCGGAACAAAAATATATGTGTGTAATGGCTAACAATCTTCAGACTGAGAGCCTTCCATGGAACCTTCATCACTAAGTACAAACTGTGAACACCACCAAAGCAGGTCCACTGATCTCAGATACTTTCTTTACTAGAGTTCCATGTCAGGGATCTCCTTTATGCCAACAAAAAGTCTTATTTGTATCCAGACTTCTTGAAGATTCATTCCAAACCCTCGCTCTGGGTCCAGTCTGCCTGACCCTTGTTGCTCCCCCAGAAGGAATTTGTTGTTCTTGATTAAACTATTAGGAGAAGCTGAAGACTGACCTTATAGAAATGGTGAACTGTAGTAAACTGAATATATAGAAAATTAGTAGGACTTTATTAACAAAAGGAAACATTTAATTAGCCCTGGAATGGCTAGGTACAGTGTGAAGGATGTTTGCCATTTAATTTGGTTTATGGAGTTAAAGCTAGACCAGATAACGAAGCAAAAGTTTATTGTTCAGCAAAGCAAATTATGGCAAAATACAAAAAGCCTTCAGTGGAGCTGAATGGGATTTAAGTGTTAAAGAGAACGGTCACCAAGATGAAATGAAAACTGTTCGATGAGAGATTAATGTGGACAAAAATGTAGTACATGCCACTCAGTTATAAATATTGAGAGGTTAAAGTGGCTAACTGGAATTAACATGAATGTGGAGAAAGTAATCAAAACTAAGAAAGGTATTTGTAAGTTATAAAATATCATTTGTAGCAAAGGACTTGGAAATATTGTAGAATATAATAAATGTGAATGTGAAAATTCCAAGCAAATAAAACCCAAAGAATAAAAGTCTGATTGTGGAGGATTTGACAAAAAATAATAAGGTATGTTCTTAATTACATGAAGAATGAAATGACATCAGAAATGCCAAGCTGGGTTAGAGCAGTGGTCCACTGGGACCATTCTGTATTTTTGTCTTTTTCCTATCCCAATGTCCTCTTACAGCTCACTATGACAATACTTTAATTCTGTATCCAGGCAGGTTAAAGCGTTTTGTAAATCTTAGAGAAAGTAACCAATAGCATAATTAACACTGTATAGATGTGAAAAGCTGTGTTCTTCTACTGATACAGGGATGAAAATAGAACCAACTCCCTCCAGTCAGTATGGGTTCTTAATTCTATTTACCTCAGACATTTTCATATAAATTACTTTCAGAGTAACTACTCTGAAGTAGACCAAAACTGTAAGTGATATGATAATGCCAGGGATTTCATTTCAGAAACCCAGCTGTCCTGATGTATCTTGAGGGCTTCCATCTAGAAGCTAATCAGGCAAAAATAAATTTATTGAAGTGGTACTATTTCTCTTTGACCATTATTGAAATGTATGGGGTATTTTTGTAACTGAGAAAACAGTTTGTAGAGGTCAAGTCAGAGAAAACATAAGCTCATTTTGAATTATTGAATTCTAGCCATTTCCCAGAGACTGGAAAGATCATAATGCCCTGCTTTGAGACATTTCTTGGGAATTCAATCCCCAAAGAAAAAAACGGTTTGTTTTTTTTTTTGCTTACAATACAATTTGACAAGCTTTGTTGCTTGAAATGGTCAGTTTCTTTGTACTAAAAATGGGTCCATTTTGTAAATAGGGACCTTGAGAGCTAAGTAGAATGTCTTAAGATTATTCCTTTCCTCAGCATGTTTTTCAGGTCTGCAGCAGATGTCTGTCTTCATCCTGCTGCTGCTACTATGGTACAATAAAATTATAAAACATTTAGTTACACAAAGCTAAAATTTTACTGAGCACCCCAATATGTTATGAACAAACAACTTCAAGCATTAGAGCTGAAAAAAACCCCAATTTTTTATCTCTTTCTCGGTTTAATTAATGTATTGATTTAATGTTCATCTTGCTTGTTGGCATGAACTGTCTCTTTGAGAACTCCTCTGGGGAGGAAGCAAAGAGGTCATGATATCTGCTACACTTTATCAACCGAAAAGTGGACAATTGTGAAGCTATGGGAAGTATTCCTTGAAGAAGCTATTAAAAGGTTACAAAAAAAATGTTTCTTTAAGCAAATTCAGTGAATAGTTTCATCCTGTCTCCCTTTGTGTGCTGTTGCACACAACTGGGGTTTCTAAGAACCTAAAATAAAGCCTTTCAATTTCCTTTTAAATGAAAAGGTAAAGGTTCCATAAAATTCAATTGTGTACTTGAACAGAGCATGTCATTTCCCATTCATCTGATCAATAATTCATTGATTGCCTTTTGCCCGAGGAAAGTTTTGAACATAGATTCAGACAGTAGGAATATCACATAGTGCTGCCTTGTCTTGTTTATTAATTATACTTTTCCTCAATTTGGATCACTAGGCTACCAAGGTGACAGCAGATGGTGAGCAAACCAGGCAGGATGCTGAAAGGACTAATGACAGAGCAAAATCTCTTGGACAATTCATCAAAGGCATTCTCCAAGCTGCTGAAGGTATTGGAAAAAGAAAAATATTCCAATTGCTTCTCAATAAAACTGAAGGATGGTAGGGAAGAGGGTCTGAAAGGCAGCGAGGATGACTTTATTCACTAAGAAATGTCATGTGCTTTAAATGTCGAGTGAAGAAACGACAATCAACTTTCTTCAGACTGTTTGCAATCTACAGATGCAGTATATATAAACAGTTAGTGTATTGGTAATTACAAAGACTAGTAGAATATTGAGTATATTCCTTCAAGATTTTTGCAGTTATTTGAAGAAAAGCTGTTATGATGATGTAACTGACAGGGCTTAGCTTTTGTTTGTTTTCAAAGCAGTTAAAAACATGTATTGGTAAAAAAGCTTGATGTAATTTTAGCACTTGGTACATTAAGACTTCATGTTATTTCCCCAAAATGACTTCAAAAATACATTATTACTAGCTGTTAATGAACATCTGCTGCTTGGAATTTGCAAGTGACTCCTAACACTAAGTAGTGGCATGGCGCCAGCTCTCTTTCTTCAACAAGCTGATTCTCTGCACTCACAAATGCAGTAAAGACTTATGAGCAAAAGTATGGCTTTGAGAAGCAACACCTATATGTTGCATGTAGCTGTTAAATAAGATAATGGCTGAAAATATGAAAAAGATTGACAATCACAGGCAGGTTTTTTACTTAAAAAAGACTAATCTGTTCTTTCTTCCTCAAAACTCCCTCTACGGTACTGATGTAGTACAGTACAGTAGTTATGCCTCTGAAGGCCCATTTCATTGAAGGGGAAAGCTTCCACTTTTGTCCAAGTGCTGTAAAATACATTTTATATTGCCTTTAATGTACACATCCCAGTACATGCCCTGTAGCTGAACTGAACAGCAGTTTAGGGTATCTTTAGGACATTCAGCTTTGAGATGAAATAGATGTGTGAAAAGCAACAAGAAAAAGTAAGCAAGTTTTCAAGAAGTTTTTTGAACAAAAGACCAGGTTCTTCATATCTCAAGATGAATTTGGGATAAAAAGGTCTAAACCAATTTTTTGCTCTACAGAGTTTATGCCCAGTGGAAACAAAAGTTTCATCAAGCAGGTTTAGCAATAGGAAGCACAGAGTTAGAAGACATTGAAGGGGTGAAATAAATTTATGCGGTATCTTAGAAGTAGACAAAGACTTTAAAATCAATGTGTTTGCCTAGTGGCCAAGTTAACGTTTTAAGACTAGATGAAATACAGGAACACAGGACTGAAAGATACCTCCTGGGTTGCTGCATCCACTCCCCTGCTGTCATAACTTTCTAACCCTCATCTTCAAAGTAGTTCCCACAAATTACACAATCTGAATAGGGGGCAGTTTCAGAACTCTTCATAACTACAGACCTTCTAATTTCTAGCTAAAAATATTCATGTTTAGTTTATCATCATGTGTCCTTTTGCCAGTGTTGTTCCTCAGTTCAAATAGGTTTATTCCTTTCCCTAGTGCTTCTGCTCCTTCTCCCACCTGCAACTATGTTCACATAGAGATATTGTATTCCCCTTTGGCCCCCTTTTTTCTAAACAAAACATCTTAAAGCATATTCTACCAAATCTTCTCATCTTCATATAATTTCCCTTCTTCTGTTGAAAATTAGGTTCATCTTTCCTGACTGCAGGTAACAAGCATTGAAATGAGGTTGCTTCAGTGTCTTGCACTTCAGTAGCAGTAAAACCTGCCTAGGTCAGCTCTCCTAATACATTCTGGGATAGCACTTCCTTTTCACAGCTGGGTGCCATCGGAGATTTATAATATATCTATGTTCTTCTCGTTCATACCTTATATATAACTGGCAAAGCCATAGTTTACAGATGAAATTTCTGTTGTTATTTAGTTCACAACCTTATATTTTCTGCTATTGAATCTCATTCTGGTCTGATTACTTTAGTTTTGAAGGTCACCCAGTTTTTTCTGCATAGTGTTCCAGTATTTCTCTACTAAGACTGCCTTACAACTTTTCCTCATAAGCATATTTTATCAGTAGACTTTTTTTCCCCCCTAGGGTCATTAATTAAAATCTTCAACTGGATTTGCTATTAAACCGTATAGTCTCACATATGCTACCTTTGGAAAAAAAATAAAGACATTAATTTATTCCACATCCTGTTTTCCACTTGCTTCCAAAGCAAGTTCTCAGGCCTTAGTGAGAATTCCCATTTCTTCAAAACAGACACTGCATTTTCTTGTTCTCAGTCAAACTGTCTTCTTCCTGGATTTGCAATGTCATGCACCAGATCTTTCAAGATTCGAGAATGGCAGTTCTCTGGCCATTCCAGCTTGACTTCTTCAAAATGTTCTTCCTCTAGTTGTGGTAATTTCTATATCCTTACTTCTAATTACCATCCTCAATTGTCTTCCTGCTCAAGATCACCATCTTTCAAAAACTGAGGATAAATTTTCACCTTATGTTGGAGCCATTCCCAGATTATTTTAAAATTTTATGACATTTTAACTGTGTATTTGCCCTATCTTTTTTGTCTCTGCTTTTTTTGACCCATGACATTGATAGATTGTTTTATAAAGACTTTATGTCCACTCATTCTGATTGAGGTGACCAGCCAGTTTGCTCTGCAGGTATTCTTTATGCACGTTCTTTGCCCCCATCCCTAGATTACAGAATTATGAAAGTTATAGTACTTTGGATCTCTGGGAATGCAGGACTTTATCTGTGACCCTCAGCTCGCTAGTAACAGTTGCCAGTAGGAAACAGCTTTAGGATGAAATGACATGAAAGGACCTATTTCTTTCCATTAACTGAAGGTAATTCTTGAGAATGGCAGTGCTGAGAAGTACATGATTGTAGATCTGACAGATGCCTCCCTAAACATCACGGAATCAAGGAATTCTTCAAAGCATAAAAACTCCTTATTGCAAGTGAGGAGTTTGTAGTGATTTGTTGTTATGACCATACTCTGACTGTTGATCCATTTCTGTGGAACTGATTGCTGACTTTCTGAACTTCTGAGTACCTGTAACTAGTTTTCCCTCTTAACTATGAATTTCCCCAGTTTTGTGCTTCCTTGTGTTCGTCTGTGTCATTGCATCCAAATCTTTTAGCACCACTGGACTCTGCTAGTTTGCAGTATACTAAGACTAGAAAGTAAAGATTGTTATGAAGAGGATGGAGGAGAAAGATAAAGCTAGGTATAAATTTTCCTGAAGCTAATAAAAGCTGAGATAAGAAGTCCATTTTCTCTTTTAAGATAAATATTCAGGGCAGTTAAATTACTATTTATTTATTCCAGATTAAAAAAAAAATATGCCTATTCCTGGCCTAAGGCAATTTAGTAATGATATGTAACATTATGCACAGAAGTGATCCATGATCCATATAAGCAAAGTGTAGTCTTTTTCCGCTCCTTACTACCCCACACATAGCCACTGTTGATTAAAGATCCAAATCTCAGTTCTCACAAGCAAATCAAAGACATCATTTGATTAGAAGTTTCTTCATAATTTACTCCTAAGCCTACATAATGTATAGGTGAAATAGTCATTCATTTGAATTTTGGAAGACAGATTTTTATTTCTTTAATCAAAGATTTAAGTTGAAATATTTGGAAGTAGCCATGCAACCAGGAACTGTGCTGTTTTGGAGAAATCAACTATGTGGGACCCTTGTGCATGTACATTTTTAGGCAGGAGTACTTTTTAAAATTGAAGATGGAACTGATTGTCATAAATTACCTAGTTGCTCCTGAAAATGTGTATTCTAATATGTTGGGGTGTGCTATGTCAGAAAGATTTTAGTCAGTCCTTGAATATGATACCATCTGTACAGCTTTATCAGTTAGGAATAATTTGGCTATTCCAAACACATAATACATTTACAGTGTACTGTCATATATTCCAGTCTTCACAGCCTTCTTTCCCATTTCTGGGTATCTGCTTCTAAACACATGAATGGCTTTAGACATCTGTGGCTGTCTTTCACTCTCTCACCTTCTTTTTCCAAAATTTCCCAATCATTTATTTTTCCTAAAGCTGTTAAGTCTGAATGCTAAAAATTACATATATTAAAGTTCTCCCAAAATAATTTAAATCTAATTTTCATTGCTTGTACTGCCTGCTCCTTAATTCTGTGAGCAATATACCAGATTATCTTTTGATATTTCAAAGGTTCAGTGCAAATTCTTTCTTTCAGGAGCAGGAGGAGGGAAGCAATATATTTCTTATACTGCATATAAAGACTTCTTCACTTTAATTATTGTACTTAAAAGTGAGCTATAATAAAAGGTGATGAAGCGTAACATTTTCTCATTTGTTACTAATCATTGGATTAACCATCCTTTATATTTCATAGCAGGAATAGCCAGTGCAAGTTGCATTCCACTTGCTAATAGAGTTGATGTGGAGATGCTCTGTTGTTTTTGTTTACTAACTCCCTACATAAATATTTTTGGCCCCCTGCAGCTGCAAATGAAGATGCCATAAAACTGAATGAGACACTCAGAACCCAAGACGAGACTTTGGAGAAGAGTCTCCCAGAACTGCAGAGTAAGGCTGACAGAATGATCGCAGAGCTGAGAAGTAGAAAGCTGAATGTGCAAGAAAGGATAGCTCAAGATGAGTTAAAGTGAGTAGCGAGACCTCAGTCTTCAATCTCTCAGTGATAATATCTGACTCTTGTAAATGTGATTGTCATCTTTTCCAAACAAGTTTTCAAGATGGGGCTTACAGAAATGTGAAGGAAAGCAGAGTCCTAATACTTCATGTCTGTTAATGTAGCATTTGCATTTTTTGAAGTGCTTACGTATGTGGAAAGCAATCTCTAGGAAATTAATTCTCTGTTCCACAGGTAACAGCAACACTTCTAATCAAATTCTAAGCAATTTTTCTCAGTTTGTTTTTAGGTTCTGCTTCAGACCTGATGAATGGCTTTTGTACTAAAATACTTACCTAGAAACTTGGGGTTTTTTTCTGGAAAACTATTTGGGTTAATATCTATATGCTATCTGTCTGCAAAGTTTGTCCAGTAGTGTAGACATACAAAAGGATATATTTTGCCATATATACAATAGTGTGGATCAGAATATTCCAACTTTGTGGCACAGTTCAGAAGCCCAGGATTTGGTTATTTAGCTATCTATAAATATAAAAATATTTATATTTATATTTCTACAAAA